GGAGGAGGAGGAGGAGGAGGAGGAGGAGGAGGAGGAGGAGAAGAAGAAGAAGAAGAAGAAGAAGAAGAAGAAGAAAACAAGTTGCAAAAGCTAATCTTGAAGCCCACTTTAAAGGAATCATTCTGTTTTGTAAGATACACTTTCTGATAGTGAATAACCCATGTTTCCTTTCTTTTTCAGTCTGAGAGAGGATGTTTGCTTATTTCCTCTAAGAAGGTGGCTGTGATTTCTTCTATTTGGAGTCCCCCCCCCCCAAATAGGTCCCCTTAAACGGGACTGTAAAATGCCTTCCTTTTGTACAGGTATGGTTCCACAGAAATAGAAATCCTTCTCCTGAAGAACTAATTCTTTGCTCTCTTCCCAGTCAGCTGGCTTCCTTCCCCCTGAGTTTGGCTGTCAAAATAGGGCTATTTGTGGATGGTGCTGAGCTCATGCCGAGTACACTCACTCTGTGGAGGGCAGAGCGGTATTGGCCAGGTTGTATTTATAAGTGCTGTAGGAAGGTTGATGTCATAGAAAGTTCACCGTTAACATATCAGAAAGAGTTCCTGATGCAGCGCTATTACTGTAGAAAGCTAGCACCTACCCCTCTCCTAGAAGAATATTTTGAGAAATATTAAAAAGGCAGAATATATTTCCCTACAGGAGAAATATGCTCTTGGAAAGTAGCCTCCCCTCTTTCTTAATAGCTAGGGCCAGCCTATCTACAAGACAAAAGACCTTCAGTTCCAAGGTGATGGGATTAAGACGTGGCCCTTCAGAACATAATAGGACCATTTAGCAGAAGACACAGAGCTCACTGCATTGCACAATCTCCCAAGGACATTGCATCACTCAGCAAACTTCAACCAAACCAGGGGGCTCAGAAAAACATGACCCCATAGGAATCTGACATCAACCAATAGAATACATGTTCTTGCAAAGGAACAGGAAGCTCTAGTGCAAAGCCCAAGAGGTGGTGTTAAAAACCTATTCTCAACTCCATGTGTTCAGTTGCACCAGAACCACAAATATTACTTCTGTTCATCAATAAATGGACCCTCTTTCCAATCAGCCTCCATTGTCTCTAGTGCCTTTCCCCCAGCTTGGAATGGAACCAGATGGATATTTCTCTCAGCACTATATAGTAGCAACAGCCATATGCCTTCTCTGTCTTGGTCAATATCAGCAGCATTGCCATAAATATTGATCAGTGACTGTGGTGTTGCTATATTTTTCATTGTTTAAACTGTTTTGAGAATACAGCTATCATTTTCCCTCCACATTAACTATACAACTATGTTGGTGGTCGTACTTCAATTGTCTGGAGGGCTTCAGAAAACTTGGCCCCCTGAAGTAGCTGCCTGTGAAGCAAAAGTCAATGTTGTTCATTTTTTCTTAGGAGTGATGTCTCAGAGTTACCTTGAGTCGGGTGGGTTCCAGCAGGCACTACTGCCAGTTTG